TCTCACCTAAGAAATTAGGGTTTAAATATAATTGTGGATTGTTAAATTAATTATAAAATTACAATTTTGAATGGAAAATAACAAGATTTTGCATATGGGTATAGTCAGTGAATCAATCTATGATTGTTCTTATTATAAATTCAATTTTATCAAAAATTGCTGTTTTATTATATTTCTACTACATTTAAATTTTTCTTCTTGAATAATTTCAATTTCTTATTAAGTTACCTATTTAGTACAAAAATTATATTAAAAAATTATAAACTCAATTCCCTATGGATTTGATACTTGAACTTATGTCCTCTTTACTATTACGACAATTAGTATACTTGTCAAATGCGTATAAAACAATAAAGTCTCTCCAGGCTTCAATAACCAAGCATTCTTTGCAACAAAGCCTCTTGACTTTAAGTCATAACACAAAATTAAACTGGGTAATAATAATTATTTTTGTTTTACTCACAAGACGTGATACAATAATTAATTAAGTATAATGCTTTTTCACAAAAAGAATGAAATGAATTCTTATAGTTATTGTTCCCTCTTCTTTCTGAGTCATCAAGCTTCTTTATATGGTGCTTGATGAAGATGATTTTTGTAAATCCTTGAGTTTCACTTGTAGGTTTGATTCATATTCTTTCCATGTAGAATAAAGTGTTCATTGGTATATTAAATGTATTTCACCCTATTTTTATTTCTTATCTGATCGATGAGACTACTTATCACATTTAAAGTACAAAAGAAAAATTTCCTTCCTAAGCTTTTATTCGTTTGATCTATTAAGGAATAACGTAAACATATAAGATATGGTTATCAGACATAATAAATGATATTTTTAATGTATTCATTTTAGGTAGACAAAAGATTTCATTTGAAAGACTATATGTCATCATAATTGTCTTATTTAGTTATATTTCTTATATTATCTTAAACATTTCTCTCTCAAAAACACTCAAGTTTGCTAACATAAAAACCTATGTTCCTAAGGGATCTAAGATCATTTTTTTATCAAACAATCTCTCACTTTTTGATGGTTACTAAAACGTTTTTGAAAAGCATAGTTTTACATGCATAAGATTTAGTCGATTTTGAGTAAAAGACGAATATGCCCCATACATAATATTTGAGTCAAATCATATGATTATCATATAAGATGATATAGCATGTCAAGCATTATCATATCAAGTATTTTCTATCAATAGTATATATGGTAAATATCATGCAAAGCATATCAAATATATCATATCATATATAGCATATCCAATCAGAGCATATAAATTTTTTATCATATCAAGTCATGAATTATCTTATCAAAGCAGGCTAGATATCCCATCAGAGTACACATCAATCAAAGCATATTATAGGACATCCAATAAGAGCTTATGCATACTCAAAACATATCATTGGAAAGTATATATGATAAAAATTATGCAATGTATAAATTTATATAAAAGTTTGTAAGAGGCTCCCTCTAAGATGGAGTGAAGTTTTAAAAATTAAAAGCTAAAAACTATAATGATTTACTCTCCATCTTGACACCAACAAAAACCAATATTAGAACAAAAAGTGGATTAGAGCAACTAGTCTAGAGATGATTCATCGTCATCAAAGCTAAAATCCTATTGGAGCTTGTTGAGCAACTTTTGATATTGTCTGTCTGAATGACATTGTTGACAAATATATTTTTGTAGGGTAGTGACTAATGTAGTGACCGTTATTTTTAATTCTGAGATTGTCTCCAAGACTTCAACAACTTCTATAGACAAAGATTGTGGCACTAATTCTTCTTGTACTAGGGGGCGGAGAAACAACAAAAACTACAAGAAATTTATTTCCTTATAATTTTCTTTTTAGAGTTTTAGGAGATGCAACTAGTAATGTGATATTTGTTTATTAGGCTTGTTTAACCCATGAGAGAGTGAGGAGCATACACGCTCCAAAGTCGATGTCCACTACACTTGGTCACTAGATCTCATGGTTCATTCAAACTCCACCATGTCACATATTCCATGCACTAGTAACACTTTTAGCACCTTGGCACATGACATGCTCCCATTGGTTGTTCTAGATCTATGACGTTGACATGCAGTCACACCTTTTACACCTTACCATGTGGCATGCTCCCATTGACACTTCTAGATCTAGGATATATAGTGTCATTTTTAGGAAGGAAATTCAAATTTCGAAATATAACTAGAGTTAGTTGTCTTGAGTACAAGTTAACGTAATTTTGGTTACACTTAATCATAGTTAGCTTAACTTGTACCACAAGCTATCAAACTCTATATATTCATTTTCCCCTCATTTGGAAGTCATTTTTTAGTTGAATGAGAATTAGATTTCTAAACTTCTTTCTTCAAAAGCATAGTTCTATCCTAGGAGCACCTTCTCTTTAAGAACTTTTATCAAGGAATTCTTCTTTGTGACAAGTTTTTCGTTCTTGCTTATCTTCTCTTAGAAGGGTGCATCATCCTTGTTGTCTTTCCACCATTTTCGATGAGTTTAATAAAGCTTGAAATCCATGGATGAAGATTAGAGCATTAATGGAGCTTGGTTAGAAGAAACTTCCATCATCTTCTCACTATTTTATCATTTTTGGTATCATGAGCCTAGAATCATCCATGGTGGTTATTTCTTTCAAATTTTTGTGTTTTATATTGTTTTTACATGTGTTTTTTTTAATGTTTGTTGAATAGATCTAATTTTTGTATGCTATTTTGATAGATATATACTTATCTTGAAAATTTTGGTTAATATTTTTTAGATCTTGCACTCTATGAACCAAATTTTGTTGTATGACCTTAAGATTCATGTTCTATGATATTTTCTTTATATTTTGATTTGTTTTGTAGTGTTTGAAATAAGAAACAAAAAGAATTTGTGTAGGTATAGGAGTTTCTTTTGAAATCTATAAAATGCATGTCTTAGAAGTCTTATGTTGTTCTTCATTGTCAACACTTCTAGTTGATCCTTTTTGTTTTTACATCTTACAAAATATATACATATAAGTGCTAGATTGAAATTGCATTTGTGATTTTTACTTATAATCTTTGAGTTCATACATGTTAATTAATAGTTCATCAACATGTTCTTATAGAGTTAGGTTTTCTAATATCTAGTAATTTTTACTATTTTTTATGATTCAAATTGAATTCAAATTTGAAGAACTTCTTAAAACTCTTGTGACTATAGTAAAGTAGTATTTGAACTTTCTATTTGAAGTTCAAAAAGTTTCTAAAGAAAAGGCACAAGTGAAAACAAGAGTTGTTTCAAAATTCCTCACCAAATTTTACTTCATTGAGTTTTTCTACTTCTAAATTTTGTGCGATTTTGAGTTTTTCTTCTTAGGAAAATTTGCAACAAATTTCCAGCAACATAAACAAAAGAAAAATGTCATGAATTTTTTCCAAAAGAAAAGAAAAACCAAAGTGTATAAAACAAAGAAAAAATACGAGAAAAAGGGTAAATCATTTGTGATTAAAAAAAATGAAGCATTTGTGAAAAGAAAATTTCAAATCTTTTTTGTCACATTTAATTTGCCTAAATTTTGCATTTAATTTGGAAGTGAATTTGAGTTTTTATTGATTTTGTAGTCCAATTCTAGAACTTTTTCTATAACTATTCCTTTGAAGTTTTAGTTTCTAAATTGTACCTTAATTTTTGTTTGTCTATTTAATTGATATTCTTTGAGATTCTTCATATTAATTCCATTTAAGTTTAGCCAAATTTTAATTAAGCATTTATTGTTTGTCTTCTAAAAAAATCCTTGTGACTTTTTTTTGCTAAATTTTAATTAAGCATGTTGATAAAGGTCTAGGAGGACTTGCTCCTTGGTTGACACTATCTTTTAGAGAGCTTGAAGGTCAAACAGTAATGAGTTTGTTCATTATGTATGAGAAGACTTATTTTTGCATCTCAATTTTATTTTTAATTTTATTTTAATTTTTCTTGTTGTAAAGGTCTTTCTCTTGGAAGTGATTTGAGAGGTTCTAAGTATCTATTCAAACTTCCAATTTTCTTGTAATTTTTGTTTAGTATTTTTTCTTAGTTCTTGTGAAAGTATGTTATGAGACTCTCACAAGTTTCCGCCCAAACTTTCACATTGGAATACAACTAGTTTACATATTTTATTTTCTTTATTGTTTCCTTTTTAATTCCTCCCAAAGGCTATACTTTCTTTACATTAGAGTGTTTAATAGATTCCAAAGACTTCTTTAAACACATTAGGTTGCATTTTTGTTTAGTCTAAGAAAAATCTTTTTAGGAGAGAAATCTAAATTTCAAAATGTAACTAAAGTTAGTTATCTTGAATACAAATTAACCTAACCTTTATCATAGTTAAACTTGCACTACAAGTCCCAAAGCTACCAAACTCTATATATTCATTCTCCCCCTCATTTGGACATCACTTTTGAGTTAAATGAGAATTATATTTCTAAAATTCCCTCTTCAAAAGTATAATTCTTTTCTTGGAAAACTTTTTTCTTGAAAACTTTTATCAAAAAATTCCTCTTTATAATAAGTTTCTTATCTCTTGCTTATCTTTCCTTGAAAATGACGTAGCATCCTCCTTATTTTTTCCACCATTTTCATTGAGTTGCATAAAACTTAGAAGCCATGAATGAAAAATTGAGCATCAATGAAGTTTGTTGAGAAGCTTCTCACTAGTTTCATCACATAAAATACAATAAATTTGATGAGTTCCATAGAATTCATTAAACTTTTATTTACAAATGAAAATCAATGTCTCAAGGTTTGTTGGTTATTCTCATTCTTATTTTGACACAATCTTTTATCATTTGTGGCTCCTTAATTATATAAACTTTTTCTGCAATCTCTCATACATCTTAATTGAAAGTTAAGCTAAACTTTATTACAGATACAGCATTTTTTATAATTATCTTTCGTAAGATGAAAAAAATTGATCAAAAGCTATATATTAATGACTTATATGTCTCAAAATTCTAACTCAACCACTTAAATTAATTAGGAGAAGGAAATTTGACTTAAAAGGAACTCAAACTTTATTCCCAATATCTTCCTATAATATCCACTTCTAAATATTTATACATTTTTAAAAATTTAAAGCACTTATAAATTTTTACATAGATAACTCCAGTAATTCTAAATTTCAAATTTTACATAACATTCTGACCATTTTACTTATCTTGAACACCAAACTCAACCTGAACTAGAACACCAACCTCATCGTCCCTTTGGATCCTTAATCTCCGAGAAAACATTCTCGGGGATCAACTTGTCAGATTCCTTACTCCCATAGCTACCACTGCTTGTAGTGTTCAATCCAGTGCTGTTACTATAATCCGAAACATGTACACTACTATGACTACTGCTAAACATGTCTTCACTATCTTCATAATCTCCACCACCCACCATAACTCCATTCACAGCACTATCATGAAGCTGCAGAACAAACTCGAGCACCCCAACGACGTCGTTCATGGAAGGTCGCTGAGTCCCATCCTCATGCAAACAACTCACGGCAATCTCACCAAACTTGCGCAAACACTCGGGTGTTATCTGGCCTTTCAGTGCCGGATCGACAATCTCACCCAGAGAACCCTTCTGAAAGCGATGCTTGGCCCAATCAACGAGTGACATCTGCTGCTTCTCCACCGTACGGAGCAAAGGTTGCCTCCCAGACAATACCTCCAAGAGCACCACCCCAAAGGAGTAGACGTCAGACTTCTCCGTCAAACGATGTCGTTTGTAGTACTCCGGGTCTAAATATCCAATACTACCCTTCACCTGAGTGCTCACATGGGTCATTGAAATACCCGTGGGCCCAATTCTCGATAACCCGAAGTCCGAAACCTTGGCGACCCATTTTTCATCCAATAAGATGTTGGTGCTCTTCACGTCACGGTGGATGATCATTTGCTTCGCACCTGTATGCAGGTAATGCAGTCCTCGTGCGGCACCTATGCAGATCTGGAGCCTTTGCTTCCACGACAGAGAAGGATTATCGGTGTTGTAGAGATGGTCACGGAGGGTACCACGATCCATGAAATCGTAAACGAGTATCATCTCGTTGCTCTCGTAACAGTAACCGATCAGGGAAACCACATGGAGATGACGAAGTTGAGAGAGCATTTCGATCTCGTTCATGAACTCCTGCACACCTTGCTGAGAACCCGGTTTGAGCCTTTTGACTGCGACAGGTGTTGAACAGTCGTCGATGTATCCTTTGTACACGTTGCCGAAGCCTCCCACGCCAACCACGAAGAGTTCGTCGAAGTTATTGGTGGCGGCTATGATTTCTGCGATTGAAAAGTGGCGGCAAAGGTTGGTTGGTAGCGATGATGACCCACCACCGCGAGAAGTTCCGTCTTTTTGCTTGGAACCCTCGTCGACGGCGACGTTCTTCATGCGTTTGATGAGGAAGAAAGCGACAATAAAGGAGAGCAAAACGACACCTGATACAGCACCTGCGACAGTGGCAAGGGTTCTTGTGGTGCCGTTGCTTTTCTTCACTGGGGTTGGAAGGGGAACGGTGGGGTTTTGTAGAGGAGGGTCAGGATTCGGTCCAGATAGATTACCTGTCGAGTCGTTGATTTTGAAGAGTTCAATTCCATTTAGAGATGCGTCCTTGGCCAAGCTTGCAGGGTTCGGATGCATTTTGATTGAAAGATTATATGTGCTTCCCATATTCGTTGAGATGAAAACTTCATAGTCTCTAACCACTGGTACACCCTTCTGTTTACCGCTCCAAGAGAGAACGTCTGCCCACTCTTCAACCAAATGATCCTGAATGTAGATGTAAAAGCTCAGGTCACCAGGATGGTTAATCTCCGGATCGAGCTGGCAAAAGTGTAACCTTAGCAAGTATGTGAAGCCAGATTCAACGGGAAGCTGCCATGTGAGGTTGAACCTCATGTTCGTATAGTTATCCGGTCCCATATTTCTTAAGCTTCGGTACACTTGGTCTGGTGCTGTGTAGTTTGGAGTCATTTTAGTGAACCTCAGCTTAATATCATGCGCAATATCAAGAGATGGTCCACTTTGACTAGTTAGGTACTTATTATCCACCTCCCAGGTCCTGAGCATACCCGTGTCTTGTGAGGGGGGGATTTCTTGGTCACCAACTCTTAACCGGTACATTGTCTCTAGAGCACAGTTGTTTTGAATAGTATATGATGCTCCTTCTCCAACAGGTTGCGGCAATTCAGCGTTGTCCACGTTGGGATTAGTGTAGTAGAGATAAGGGGGCATGGAAACAATCTCGATTCCATTGATGAAAGCGTACGACTCTGTGGTGCTTGGAATGAAGGTTATGTTGAGCCTCTCGCCATCTTCCACGTTGATGCAATACTCTCTGAACAAGGTGTCGTCGGGGTCGTCAGCAGCATCAGCATTGAGAGAAACATTGAAATCTTGAAGGAGAGTGAACTCCCCTGCTTTGACTGAGAAATAGGCTTTGGGGCGATCAAAGTTGAGGTATGAAGTTGAGTAGAAGAAGAGGCGAAGGAACTTTGGGCCCGGAGTGACAGGGAATGAGTAAGTGAAATTGGAGTGAGAGAGACGAGCTGAGGTGTATGGACCCGGTTGGGTAGATCGTGCAGAAGCAACAACTGAGTCGTGGTTTTCAGAGAGGAATTTCGTGTTGCTGTCTGCAGTCCAATTCCGACCAACGACCATGGACAAGTTGGTGGATGAGCCACAGATGATGCTGAAGTGGTCATGGGGACGATAATAAATAACATCTGCTACGGAAAGGAAAGCGAGGAGCAACAATAACAGTAGGAAGGATAGGAAGGTTTCGAAAGCAATTAGTGTGCGATTTGTGTCCATATGGACAAAGCTGCAATCGAAGCAACCCAAAAGCAGGAAAACACAGTGTACAGGGTGGTTCTTTTCTATTCTGCTTAGTTAACAGAGGCTTCATGTCTACGCTTGTTTTTATTTTTTGGGCGACTGGCGGCAAAAATATCTAAGTACTGTCAGTGGAAATTCAGGCACGGCAAAAATATCTAGAGTGATTTTTTATTTTATTTAAGTTAAATTCTCATTTTATTAATAAATAATTTATATTTAGAATAAATCCAAATATAACTAATTTATGCTAAATATAGATTTTTGTGTAGGTTAGGTTGTATGTGTGATAAAGTGAATCAATTTATTTAAAAGTAGATGAAATGAGTTGACTAAAATGCAGGGTAGAACATGATAAGTTGATCCATTAAATAAAAATAAGTTGAAAATAGTGGATTGATTCAAATTTTTTTAAAAAAATTTTCAATTAAAATATTTCAATACATATTATTACTTCAATATATTATTTTATTATTTAAAAAATTGGTTAGAGTTTTATTTTACATGGATGAAATTAATATATATTTATATTAAAAAAACACAATTCATGAAAATGTATTAATAAATAATAGATGATTAAAACAATATATTTATAATAATTATCTAGAAACGGAAGTTAATTTATCTTTTAAGAGTATAAAAAACGGGTTGATAGGTTAATTCACTTATAAATTGAAAAGTTAGACACATTGATGAATTTATTTATTCAACCAAACCTACAATAAAAAAAAAAAAAAAAAAAAAAAAAAAAAAAAAAAGAGACAGAGTAGTAAGTTGAGTCATCAAATTAACTCACGTTGTCATCCCTGTTCAAGCATTACAAAATTTAAAAGTTTATATAATTTAAATATATAATAGTTATTTTTTTATTATTGATTAAAGAATAAAATATTAAGTAAATGAGTTTTCTTAGGAAGAAAATAATTAAAAATACTAAAAAGATCATATATACCATTATGGTGATATTATTTAGAGTAATTTTTTTTACCTACCTCTCATAAATAAGATTATTACATTATCTTCTCTTATTTTAAAATATATAATTTGTTTTATTTAATTTAATGTTATTATCGTAAATTATATGTACCTCTCCTACAGATGCATGTATTATATTATCTTTTTTATATGTTTAAATATAGAAGAACTTATACTATATTATATTTTATTTAATAGGTTTAAATATATTTTTAGTCTCTCAAATTTAACATAAAATTGTTTTTGGCATCTCCATTTTAAAATTATTATTTTTAATCCATGTAATTTTTAAAAATCTTATTTTAGTCTAAATATAAAATATTGAGACAGTTATATAATATTAATTGAGTTTAATATGATGTTTTCATTAATAGAGATACAAAATTTTACACAATAGTATTTGATATTTTTAACAAAATTTGAATATAAGAAAACAAAATTTTTAAAAAAATCATAAGACTAAAGAACAATTTTAAATTTGAGTGACTAAAAATATATTTACCTTAAATTTAAGAGCTTAAAATAATATTTAAATTTATTTAATAATAACATTTTAATTTAAAAAATACATGATTCGTGTCTATTTCTATCAGTCCACGGAGACTTCAAGTCTATGTTTGCTTTTCTTATTTTTTTTGATTTTAGGACTGGCGGCCACATGTCTAAGCACTACGTGTGGAAATTGAAGCACGGCAAAAATATCTCGAATGATTTTTTATTTTATTTTTTCTTATTTTTTTGATTTTAGGACTGGCGGCGACATGTCTAAGCACTACGTGTGGAAATTGAAGCACGGCAAAAATATCTCGAATGATTTTTTATTTTATTTATGTTAAGCTGTTTGAACATTAAAAATAAATAAATTATTCCTTCTTTGCAACCCTCTTTACAATCTATGAATAACAAATATCACATGTATTTAATTAATATGTTATTAAATATAATTAATTTATTATTATAATTTACATTTGTGAATTCATTAGAAAGTTTTGAGAAGTATTACTCTTTTTTCGATTTTGAGTTTTAGTTTTTTTAGGTTTTGCCTCGGAGTGCAAAGATTTAACATGGAGTATTTGATAGTGTATTTTAGAAAGTAATTTTGTATGCATTTATCTAGTTGTTTTAACCTTTGTATGTGTCTTATATTCATGTTTTGACTTAGATTTATGATAATGGTATTATTTTATGATTGTTATAATTTTTGCTTAATTTTTGAATTTTTACTCATTTTTACACTTTGTTCTTGTTCAGGTCATATCTGGAGCTCTCGATATTGGATTTGGACATTCTTTGTGTCTATAAAAATATATAAGAGAGTTCTACAACTTCTCTTTTGGGAGAGAAGATCAGTTCATTTGTTAAGAGACCTAAAAATGCGTTGCAAGGTTGTGGTCATGTGTAGTATTTTCTGTTTGTTTTTAAATTGTAATGTTAGGATTTGTTTAGTGGTGTAATTAGTTGGTTTAGTGGGTTGGGCCTTTAATTACTTAGATTAGGTCCACTATATTTCTCTATTAATTGGTGTTGTGAGACTTGGTGTATACACTTTACACTCATTTTTTAGAGTTTAGAGTTGTTTCCTCTATATGTTTCTCTAAATTTTTCTCAGATTATGATGCGTGGCTAATTCGTTAATTGATTATAGGTTTCAAGAATTACGGTAAAATTCAATTTCCTAATCTTTTTATTGAACGAATTCTCTATTTCTCTTCTTCTCTTCTCTATTTTAGGTTCTTTCATTTTTCATGATTGTGAATTTCCTTTTGGGGTCTAGAATAGAGATTGAAGATCAATTTCATATATAAATTTATATTTAGATTTAGACCTAAAAAAATCTAAATTTTCTAATTCAACCATTCACCATTCTTGATTTTTATTAATGTTCTTACCGGAATTTGGTCGTAGGGGTGACCCGTCCAGTAAGATCGGCGAGCCTCCTTTGCTTGGTGTGTTGGTGCTCCAAGATAGGGGAGGTACCTGCAAAAGAGACTCCAATGCCAAAGTTAGCGTTTGCATGAATAATAGCCTCTTATATATAATGCACGTACCTTGAGGAGGTTTAGGGTTGCTTTGGGCCTTGGGTCTGAGATAAGATATGTTACAATATGATGTATTGTGATATAATATGGCGTGACTAGAGGGCGGTTCCGGTCTGGGACGAGATCCCCGGGTTCGGGTGCGACCTACCCAGATTCCGGACTGACATTATTCAGCGCGTGCCCGGGGTGGCCTTTATGTTGCTAATCCGGACTCGGAGCCCGGATGCAAAATATGGGCAGTACACTAGCCCCCCGAGCTCCGAAGATCGTAGGTCGAGGAGTTGAGACCAGGCACACTCGTGGCCTTTTCACATATGCTGAGGGGGTGCCATGTGTCGTGACTGTTCATTTCTGAAACGTGCAAGTGACGCACTAAAGGGAATGACGGTTACGCGGTGATGGCTTGCAATTAATGTACTGCCAGGCGTGCCCCTTGGTCGACACGTGGCTTGGCGGTTTTGAATTTTGGGGAGAGGCTTTTCCTTTTCTCGCGCCTCTTCTCCTCTTTGCTTTTCTCTTTTCGTGTCTTTCAGCTTCTTGCGCACGTTTCGTCTTCGCTTGCTCTCCGTTTCTGTTTTCTTTGTATTTCTTGCGTCTCTTTGAGTTTTCTTAATGGCTGGTGGTCATGGCGGTAGTTCCTCTACCTCTGCTAGGGGTAGAGCGCGCAGTAAGGTGGTGGTTGCTGGGAAAGGCGCCGCTGAGGGAAAAGGGATGCCCCTTCCCGGGGACTCGGAGTTGGGCATTCCT